AACACAACGTGGTGCGATCATCCCCCTTGCGCGGAGTGAGGGTTCTCCACCCCGCACAACATGATGTACTCGACCACCACTATGGTTACCGCCAAAAAAAAAACGGAGGTAAAAAAAAAAAAAAACGAGGGGGGGGGCTTGTTTTACAACGTCGTTGCCCAGCGACGAAAACCCAACCCAGATGGCAAACACCGGGAGGGGGCGTGGGGGGGGGGAGGGGCGAAGGGAACCGAACGCTATTCCGGGCCTTGTCCCTACTTCATCCACCTTCCACACCACCGGAACAGTTTAAACATTTCCCCGTCTACCTACTCTCGTGGCGTGTTTGGAAATGCCTGCTGAGAGGCAACTTCGTTGGTGGTGTAAACAGCTGCTGGCACCGAGACAACGACTCAAATGCTCTCTTAGACGTGGTGCATTTATTTAGCCTGACAGTTTCGTTTTCGCTTACCTTGGCGTAGACGATGGAGGAAACCGCTCCGGAGTGCACGGCATACTGACCGACCGGCGAGAAACCCAGCAGCTGTAGGATTCCCACAAGTCCACGGATCGGTGCCGGCGAGAGCAGGGCGAAGGCAAAGACACGTTTTGAAATGACAGGATCTTCATTTGCATATCGCCTTCGGACGCATCATTCAGTAGGATTGGCGCCAATACTATCCTCAGTCGCGATACCGTTCGTGGGCCTTTGCGTGAACACCGGTACAGCGTACAACATGCGGGCTACACCCCAAACGGTAAACAGCACTCAACTTCGTCTCCCCAAATCCCGGCCAACTTTGTTGTGGTCTTCAAACTAAGACAACTTTCTTAGCTCTATCGAGCACCCCTTATCGAACGGCTCTAACCCTAGACCTACCGCTCCGTCCATTCATGCCTCGAGCGATATAATGTGGATGTATGTACCTTTTCCTTGGTCGCATCATCCCAAAGCGGAGTCCAAGCCTTGATCACTCCGGCCAGACCGGAAGCGGTATACACCCGTCCCCACGCCGCCTCGATGGCCGTCACTGCTCCTCCGCATGCGTCGACCTGAGAAGATGACCCGGCAAAGACACATGTAAACGTGTGCTGGTGGACGCAGAGGTATTCCGAGGGACGCCACGCAAGTGCGTATGGAGCGTTCTTTGAAATTGCTACTGCTGTTAGGGAGGACAAAGAGATACAGTGGGGAGGGAAACAGGCCCGCTGCTGCTTGTTTATGAGGTACTCACACTTGCTTCCTGCCTGTTGATTTATCCATATAGACTAGGCCCGCTCAGAGTCCATTCGAGAGTGCGAAGACTGGGCTGGGATCGTGATTCCCCATCTAGTACTTCAATGCCGACGGTACAATACCTACGGAACTTCTGCGTTATCATGTAGTGCTCACACATAGCTCACATAGCGCTCGTACAACGTTCACAAACACTTGTACCATTTAGTCAACACACGTCAATAATGGCGATTCCATACAAATTTCTGGGAAGAATGGGCCACGGAGTATCATGGCACTGGATTCGAAAGGATGGCGTACATTTTTCAGCAAGGCTCGGCACTTTTTTCGTACATCGAAGGGCTGGCTATCTTCCCATGCACTACCTGGTGTCTCAATGAAGTCTTCCATATGTCGATCGCAAAGAAGGAGCTATCTGTTCTGGCGGGTAGCACAGACAGATATCCGTCACCATCTCCAGCCAGCAAACACACCGGGGGATCCACTTCCTGCGAAGTCATTCATGGAAGGCGGAAGAATGGTGGGGTGTGAGGTAGTCACCTTAGCTGGGGAAAACTCGTGCAAGGTTGATCGAGATGCACCAAAAGCGAAGTCGAGCGTATTCAAGAGCATTCCAAAATGATTATGCCCATCACACTGTAATACAATTTTAAGCCGGTGTCGCAGGGGGGGTGGCCCGGCAGTATATTCGGAAGATCTCTCCCAAAACGAACCCTTTGTTAATTCGTCTTGTTCTTATTTGGCTACTACGCCGAGGTCTCATGTTATCATATCATGGATGCTCGGGCGACAACCTTTTCCCGGCTTTCAAGCTCCATAAGTCCTCAGTCGGCTAGCTTGCACGTTTGCTGCGATAGTTTTGATTTATTGCTTCCCTCCTGTCCTGGTTCACCGCCTGTCTCTGCTAGTTCAAGGTATGTGTTGAAGGGGTATCGAAGCTCTCTCCAGTGTCCTTCAGTGTTCGAGATTTCTATACCTTTCAGTGTTTCTCATCACATTGCACTTCGCAGACCCCCCAATGTGGCCTCTTCAACCCAGCCTGGCACTTTTTGTATTTAGGGGACGACAAAAATTCTTTCGCCTTTCGGATTGTTGGTGGTGATGCCCGGTAAGGACACAAGCATAGATTTCGAAGCAGATGTTGTTTCCATCCACGGAGTCGCTTCTCGGGAGCTTCGTACCCGTACAAGTATGCACGCGTTTTTCTTTTAACTGTTGCAGACCAGCCAAGTCGCGTGTACTCTACGTGATTCACAAAGGGCTTCCTCGTCTACTAGCTACCACGCCACAGAACGGATTTGGGGCCTCATGCGCAACTCCTTGGGACATGAACGACACGAAAAGTTGCCCCTCTTTAAACCCTACTTGCTACGTACACAAGGACTCGAGGCTCTGGTGGTGCCCGGATCGTTGTTGGTAAATCGCTTGTATGCCCGTTGTCGCATGATCACCGCTTTTGAACGGTTCAACATGAGAAACGAATAACAACAGCAACAACAGCAATATCAACGGCAACAACGACAACAACGACCACAACGACCACAACGACCACAACTACATACCTGGCCATCGTCGACTTCAAAGCAGGCCGCCAAGAGGTCGATACTGTACGTTGTCCTCCATACCGACAGGCACCGCACGGGGCCGCACGAAAAATTCGAACGGCACACGTCCACGAACTGCGCTGGTCGGTTAGCCGCCCTCTTGTTCCACATGCACACCGTGCCGTCTTCCCCGCCGGTGTAGAAGTAGCCGGGGTCTAGCCAAGATACGCACCTCTTCGGGGGTGAAAGGAAAGAGGGGTGTTCTCGCTTTTGCTTGCCTCATGTTTGTCCACACACTCCTTTCGAGACGGGGCACTGTTCCGATGGCAAAAGTGGTACCTCCGTTTATTGGATAGTTTTGTCGGACGGGCCTGGCCATGAAACGCTTGATTTGGTCGTGCTGCTGCGCTGTCCACTCACGCGACATATGCCGGTGTTGATTCCGGTGACAGTTGCACCTCTACATCTTTCGTATGGGGCCGGCATGGACCGGCGGGGTCTAGAGTGTGGTGCGGCCAGGGCAACTTTGCAAACGTTTTTCGAGTCCACATCTAGGTCTCTGGCTAGTTCTACCTGAATCAAAGCGGGGAAGATTGATTTCTTTGGCTGAAACATGGCTCGAAGTAATATTTTTTGGGCTCTATCGCGTTCCTTTTGGAGGATTCGCACGCTAAGACGGATCTTTAAAGATATCCTGGCAAACATGCATAGGAGGCCTTGCGCCCATCGCGTACACGTTCATGATGGTATTCAAGAACCCGCTCTCGTGCTTACCACGGCTGCCTTGTGCCCTTTGCCAACCGAGGTTGGGCGGAATAAGATGGGCGGTTTTCGCCCCCGGATACCTGCCGCCTTCATCTCCTGATGCCATGACGAAAAGGGGTGGCACAGTAGTAGAACAGACAGCGTAAAGGGTACAACGCGGCGGGGAAGAAATTAACCCTCCCACTACTGAGAAGGAAGATGAGGCAACACGGAGGGAGACTCGAAAAATCGTGGAGAAAAAGAGAGCAGTTGAAACCCTCAATAGGGCGAGCACACAAGGCAGGAGCACGGGAGGAAAGGACTACCCCGACCACGGCTCCAGCTAGCTTAATCGCGCGCCCGGTGAGCATTGCTTGTCTTAAGAATACAGGCGTGTTGTAGCTTCGATTTCGCCCACCGAAAGCGGCAACATGCCGGCCGACTCATAATCAACGAATTGCTCCGGATGGTTGTCCGGAGTGGTGAGGTTCAACAATGTGGAACATTTGTGGTCTAGTTGTTCTACAACCCTGTCCCCGGTTTTGTTCCTGGGTTGACCCCCACCGAGAGAACCTAACGTGAGGTAGGCACCAGTTTGGTACCAGGTGGAATGTCCACAGCCTGTTGCGGCCAGCTCACTGGTGATTGTTAACGTTTATTCAAGCTCATCTACACGGTGTGTTTCTGTTGGCGGAGAACAAAGATTACATTGTTGGTGGAAAACTAAGGTTACACAAATAAGCATTGAAAACAAAGGTAACACTACCACCTATTTTCGCGGTCTTTGACGGTGGGTCCTAGTTGCTACCAACCGTAGAAATGACCTTACGGCGGTACTGCAAGCTGAAAGCACCTACGGAACCCAGGGGCAACAACGGAATATGAGCACCCGCGACCATGAAAGAGATAATATATCACAACCACATATCTGCTACGGAGGGGAGCGGGCAGGGATTCGCTCACGTGCAGAGCTCGCCGAAATCCCGCAGTGTCTTGGCAAAAGGTTCTGACTCCTGAGTCGGAACACCCGACCACAACGACGAAACCGTCCGGAGAACATGCAACGCACAACCCCCTTGTAGTTCTCTTGCTGCCGCTGCTGCTTTTGCCACCGTTGCTACTCTTGGGTATGTCTCCATTGACTCCAATGTTCTGCACCAGGGCGTACGCTCCTAAGCAAGAGGAGAGGAAGGACGTGTAGGAAAGAATGATGGTGGAGTAAATGTTATTGGTTTTAAGGTGAACCACATAATATCTACCAAGGTGTAGTTCCTCGAGGGTAAGTACCGTGTGTACAGCACGAAGGTGTCGTTTTCTTGTTTTTCCCTCTCAACGTTGTCAAGTTGGTTTAGCACACTGATTGACTGTATGCGTCAAACTTGTACGGAAGGGTCAGGCTTGTCCCACGATATAAAGGGACGAAGCACACTCAACACTCACAACGACGCCGATTTCACCGAAATAAAACAGTCCAACAACGGGAATATGATACGCGGCACCTTGTTGATTGGTCCGCTTCTTTCCGTTCCTTCGGGGAGGTTTGCCTCGTTTGAAAACCTTGAGTAGCCCGTCGTCCGTGGTGCAGAACACCCAAACACCGTCCACGCTGGCACATATCCCCGTTTTTCCTGAGTTTCGCTCCTCGTCGCCAATCGTCTAGCCACCAAAGAACAAAGGAGAAAGGGGGAAAATCTCAATTTGAAACGCTCAGCAAGGACAAATATAGATTTTTTATCATCCAGTCTTCCTGTTGACTATAGCACAGATCTTCCAGCCCTGGATCGGCTGTAGGCACGCATGAAAAATGAAAAGAAACGGTTTCAGGGCTATTCCTCGGCGTTTGGATGTCGCTTACAAGTGTATAAGGAGATGTTTTTGAGGGTCGTTTTCTTGAAGAAGCTCTATGTTGTGGCAACCTTCGGAGGTGGACTACAAATTCCTTGGTATCGCCTCCGGATCGACATACGTGACAACGGCACGATGGCCGTTTCATCCCAATACCGCTCGCTCGATTGACGAAGGAACGACCGAAACAAAGGCTCTGAACACGATGTGAGAAAGCAGACAAAGTACCCGTGTCAACACGTTCCTGTCTCGACGCATGGCCCTGTGCACCTCATGACACCTAACGCGGCGCTCCCCAGCTGCGTCCGGTGTGGAGTGGTGTGCAGGGTTGTGGGAAACTTTTCCGATGTTGGTGGATGCCAATGGTAGAGTGCCATTGGGGTTCTCGGTGCTGGACGGCATTCTGTAGACCCGACTAGTTGACATGAACATGGACGGGAAACTTGGATTCTGGACGAGAGAGGGAAGCGACCGGTGTCGCCCCCTGGTTACCTCCCAGACTTCGCGGAGAACAACATTTCTATGGACATTCGGACACAAGCGAGAGACGGTTTCGTTTCGCATCACACCTGCCGCACGTGGAGACTGCCTCCGTCCCAAAAGGTTTGCAAGTAGTCCCCCCTGGCGGCGTTGAGCTTCACGCGGAGTCCCTTGAGCGTAAGCAGGTGCTGCCTGATCTCGGCCAGGCGGGTCACCAGCTTCCGGTCTCCCACGTGGGACTTGAACAGCCTGGTGGTCAGCTATACCATCACCAGATCAATATTTCACCGGGAAGACAGGGGTGGGAATGGAGGTGGGGGAGGGGGGCGGTACGTTTAGACCTGAGCCGTACGAGATGTAGCACGCCATCGAGCCCAAGAAAATCCTGGCTGGGATTATCGTAACTTGCCTTTTCATCTCGTGCATTGTTCGGCTAAAGAGTTGGCATCTGGGGAATGACGTACGGCTCAAAACGTGCCCCAGATACACCCTTTAGGGTGGATAAGGTGGTATGGGAGACTCGCCCCGCAACCGCCCGACACCTCGCGGGGATCGGCACGGTTTTCCGAGTCAACCTGTGGCTCACCGACCTAGAGTCAACCTTTGGTCCACCGGCCTAGACTATACATCCTTGTAGACTTCCGGGCTTGTTGTTGGTTACAGATTTGGTTAGCAGCTTGTGCTCCCGACGAAAAATCGGAGGTCCAACGTTCGTTGTTTCCTCTTTTGCGATCCCCACGAGGTGAGATAAGGAACGTTGATGTGCTCATCCGCCTAAAATAGCTTGGCCGAACAAGAAAATCTTCCCATCTCGCATTATCTCGCAAGTTAGAGTAGAACCAAACAGGTTTTGTTCATAGGTCCCAAAAGCCCGATAGAAAACCACTTGCTCGAGGATTTACAAATCAAGGGGCCCTCGGATTTCGCTGGTTAGAGGTCTCCCTCCCACGCTGTGAATGGGGACACCCGACGCACACGCCCCGCGCGCGGGGCCGGGGAACGCAAGCACCTGTTCTACAGCTGCCGTCGCCTTGATCTCGTGCGAAGCTGCCTCGAGCAGACATCTCCCGAGCAGATCCGCCTCGCCATCGCATCCCCACAACTGCACATACATGTCAACGAAGAGGAGTCCATGCACCAACAGCGCGCTTTTGTGTTATTTTTAGCGAAAGAGTTCGCGACGGCTCATCGGCGATCGACCGCGAACCCTATATCGACAATGCCGATGCACACACAATTCAACAAGTTCACGGAACAACGCGTACTGACGTAGATTGTCGTTCTCCTACTCGTGGAAAACAACACCTGTTTCAAGACCAAACACGAAAGGCTAGTGCTCACATCCACGTGGTCTTTCCACCGCAAGAACTCGGCCGTGAGGGCCATGGAGATCCTAGCCCTGAAGGTGGCCGGGAGCTGTGTCCTGAGAACAGAACACTCCCGCAACGCCACGCCCTCCTGCTGGGCGCGGGTCGTTGCTACTGTCCTGGGATGTCGTGAGTTCGTTCCCAGCAGCGGGAGCCGCGTAGGGTGCGATGCGCAAAATGTTTTTTTTTCTTTCAGACAGCACAAACAAATCCATATCTCCCACAGGATAGAGTCCGTGATAGATTTGCGATGATGAGTTTAAACTATTGATCGGTAATCAACTTGTATGTCTACGGTTTAATCTAGTGGATATCGTATCTAGCAGGGTCTACGGTGGAGGGGGCTCTACGTAGTGGACCTCGGGCTTCTGTGATAAACCAGTGGCGCGTGTGTTGACTTGTGGACTTCGCTGTTGTTGCATGTTCGCGCAATTTCAGCGCAGGGGTACTCTTTGGTCACCTTTCGGCTTGATTGGCGAGGAAACGGTGAACTCCAAGTTTGAGCACGCACAGGTTGCGCATGGCGTTGTCCCTCCTTTCGTTGACCTGCCGCTCGTCCTCCAGCGTGAGGTCGAAGAGAACGATGCGGTGGACGGCAACCAGCACCTGTGTGTGTGTGTCATCCCGCGCCATGGCAATAGAAGTTATGTCAACAGCGCAAATGCAGGAGCAGTTTTACTCGGCGGGAACAACAGTTGCAGTGACGATTCTCTCGATGATAATTACACCGTCGTATCGGCAACATTGTTCATGGGAGGATCCAATATGATATTGAGACGGCAGCGATAGTCTCCTCCCTCCCCCGGTTGGGGGGGG